CGTAGGTTTTTATTTGAACAAAAAGTCATTTCCTGCAGAGAAAATTTTGTGCCACAAAGATGACTGAACCTGTTGATCAATCACCTGAAGATCTTAAAGTTTCTCTGGAAAGGGTTGATATAAAAGTTCATGGTGCTGGAGAGTGCATGTACTCTGCACTGCCTCTTTTGTTGGCTTATAGACTTTCAGCTGGCCCAGCATGGGACAATGTGCGTGTTTGATGGGTTGTGGGAATACTGCTTCATAATGGTCAGCAAAATTTTCTTTTAACCCAAGTAAGTATTGAAGAGATCTCCAGGTCTGAAAACTTTCCAAAATAATTAGTTTTTTTTTTTTTTTTTTTTTAATCACGAACAAGGGGGAGAGAAAAAAACATGGTTGCAAGCAAGAATCAAAATATTTATGTTGGGGAGTGTGTCAATAAAAGTCTGGAAGTACACCTGCATTTAAAAAAGGGTCAGTTTAAAGGAAGATGATGCTATATAAATCTGCTATGAGTGCGATGTGTGAGGGATGAAATAAAGAGGTGGAACTATTTCATACGTCGTTGTTATATTCTTGTGTATTTTTAATAATCCCAGCATAGTTTAATTTGATTTTAACTTTAATTTCCGTGTGTGTGGGGGGGTATTTTTGCTTTTATTTAAAAGAGACAGGACACAGGATAGAGTGAGTACGACATGTAACAAAGGTCCCTGGCTGGAATTGAACTAGGAATGTTGCAGTTGTGTGTTACACATTAACCTTTAGTCGAACAACCTGTTTAGGCCACAGAGTTCACAGCAGCCAACACAAGATGTCAGTAGTGGACCACAAAATAGTTCAAGTCCTCTTTCAAATTTGTCAGAGAGTCCAAACCAGACTCAAAATTGTTCTAAAGGTCTCATAATAATAAATAGTGTTTTTTTTTTCTGATAAAATAGTTTTTGCTGATACAAATCAAGTCTACAGGCTAATACCCCTTCATATCTTTCTGGAGGAAGCAAATTCCCAAGAAATTATCCATTTCTTTTATTATCACACACACACACACAACAGCATCTTTATGTGGTTGTTAAAAAAAATTGTTGTTAAATGTTAAGAGGAGCCCTAAAACAGGGTTTTTCACTGGAGAACAAAGGTAGTCTACGTGAACAATGTGGCTTCTTCCAACTGAGAAAAGTGCAGAGTAACAACAAATATTTTGCTATGGCAGTTCCTTTGCAGCCAGCTAATGATTAACCTGTAAAAGTGGCTTTCCTGAGAACATTTTTAACAATAATATATCAGAATCAGAATCAGAAATACTTTAATAATCCCCGTGGGGAAACTATTTACTTATAAGTAAATAATTAGTAACTGTGGCTCATGTTTGGCTGCCTACGTGCTGCAGCAAAAATAGCCTGAGGAGGAAACATTTATTCCTGTGAACCAATGAAAGGAAAGAATGTGAAAATAAATGTCTTCCTGATATGGCTTTAACAATGCAGGCTGCTTTTTTATAAAGTGTTTTACTGTAATGAGTGAAACTGAGAAGCAAACGCAGCTCCAAAGAATGTAATTAGTGCTTAAGACATTAATGTTCTGACCTTTTTTAGTATATGATTGCAGCATCAATGGAAACCCATAGTGAATGAAGTACTTCCGTTGATGTAAATATGATATAAATCCCCAATGACATAACAACTTGTGTCAGATTAAAATATAAAGGAGACAGAGATAAGATTCAGCACAGAACAAACAAGGGACAAGAGGACATTCTAATAGAAAGTAGAATATTTATTCAATTTCATCTGCATGGTTTGGCATAAAAAAAAACAAATTCAAGCACTTAATTGATTGGTTGAGGGCATATGTTCCCCATTTATTCTTTTATCATTTAAAAGACATACTTTGTCTTTTTGTCTCCTTCATTTGATTCTACTCTTCTTTATTTCCCCCTTTTTATTGTCAAGTAAATATTCTTGTACATCTTATGTAAATCACTGTAAACCACCACGGTGGCAACAAAATGAACAAAAACGTGTATTTAAAGTGTAAATGTTTAAATGTTCAATTGTACACAGTGTCATCTCTCTCTAAAAACGGATTTAATAGGCCTGAATAAAAAATGGCCCCAGTAAACTGGACAAATCAGAGCACCTGTAACTCTGAATACACCTGTTCCACATTTATCTTATGTGAATATATAATATATTTACTTTGCCTGAGACCCATGCATTCTAAATTGCAAAAAAAGACTCAATCTATTTGTGACAGTAGAGTTACACGTGGGTGTTTCTTTGGTTTTTCGGAGCAACGCTGGACTTTCCTGCAAGTGACGGGAATTTTTTTTCCACCTCTCCGTGTCTCCGTGACTCACACACACACCCAGCCACTCCTGCCCATGGGAGTATAAAAGCGCCCGCAGAGCATCCCTGCTCCAGTCCCAAAGCAGGGCGAGCCAGGAAAGGCTTCTGTTGCAGCTCACAACTGGTCTTTTCAAAAGCCTAATCTTTTAAAAAGAAATCTTCCGTCCTTTCACCATGGAGGTCCAGCGGTATCCCCTCAGTGTGCGCGTAATTGGAGTGATGCACAAGGAGAAGAGCAAAGTAAGCGCACATCCTTTTTGTGATTTTTTAAAAAGAAAATTAATTAAAAATCTGTTTTTCTAGTGTGGTAAAATAAAATCTGTATGTTCCTCTCCTAGATGTATATGACCTCCGTGCTTTGGTCGGACCAGAACGATATTGTAGTTTATAGAACCTTTCGGGATTTTAAGAAAATGCATGTAAGTATAAAATAATGTGTTTCTTGCGCATGTGCAAGTGGTTGCTTTTATTTATTTATTAATAAGACGTCTGTTACTTTTTTAAATTTATTACAGAGACAGATGAAGAAAGCATTCCCATCCGCAAGTAAACTGAAAAAATCCGACAGAGTCATCCCCAGATTTCGAGGTACGTGTGCGTAATTTACAGCCGCGGTTTAAAGTGAATGACAGTGCGCATGTGCAGGCTGTTCTCACCTCGGGCGTCCTGTGTGCTTTTCAGACAAAAAGATGAAGAGCAGCGGGCGGAAGAAGAAGGGCCCCACCAAGTCACTGGTGCGCCTCAAGTTCTTGCAGAAATATTGTGATGAACTTCTGAGCTGCGACCCGCGGGTGTGTCAGTCTGCAGACCTCATCCAGTTCTTCCAACCCAAAGCTCAGGACCTGCAGCCGGAGTTCTCCAATAACAGGTAGGCCCAACATCTATAGCGATTAAAATACTATACGCCTACGTTTGTTTAGGGGGGCCATCAGCCTTTTGGGGCCCTTGAGGATATTTTGAGTGAAGCCTGAGTTTAAAAATGAGTATATTGCATAGCTCAAGAAAACTCCAGTAAAGTAGGCAGTTAGATTTAAAACTACACCAGGCCCAGGAAGAAAATACCTTGAATTATTATTTTAAAGCGATAAAGGCAGCATAAAATTAGGGAAATAATTAAGTAGAAAGAAGAAGATTTTTTGTCTTTAAAGTTGACTATACACTTTTTAAATTCCAGTATCTTGCTGCAGGTTTTTAACTTTCATGTAATAACCCTTTGAAAATATTGGCTTCAGGAAATAGTCCTCCGTGTTGACAAAAAGCTTTTTTAGTTATCTTTACAAGGCACAAGGTCTGGTTCCATGGTCATTGTAGTAAAATGTAGAAGAATGTAACAGATTTTAGTTTCTCAGCTAGCATGTGGACCTGGATAACAGGGGCTGATCTACTGCTGCCACCCCAGTTTGTTAAATTTAACACATTCATTTTAAAATTAATTTATAATTTAATGATCTGTTAAGACCACATTTTAGACTAAGTGGCATAATTTAAATGAAACATGCATTTAGAAAAGTCTCTGAAGATTTGGAAATAAAACTATTTATTGATTTTATATGCCATCTTATATTATAATGTCATCTTATATTATAATGTTTTACCAATGTGCCACAACAATGTCATGTTTTGTTAAGAGATCCTAATTTAGGGGCTTTTCCAAGCAAATATTGATATATGTGATTGTTTGCCATTAAATCAGCATATATCTCTGCCACCCTACTGCCTAAAGGTGCACCCTTGTGGCTGCTAAATTAGGCATAAGACTTGAGCATAAGCTACTATGTGTTTCCCTGGAGTGTATTTACCTCCAAATGAACCCACTGCTCTCCTCCTCAGCATCATGATCATGCCGTCAGACGATGAGCTCGGGGCCAACGCGGGACATGGCAACGGTGGCAATGTGACCCAGCCGTTTGTCACAGAGACGTACAGATGCGTGGCCCCGTACGAGACCAAAGACACCAAGAACAAACCTTTCAAAGTGGCGGTGGACGAAAATGTGGACGTACTCATCAAAGACAAAGCGGGTGAGCGAGTGCTTCAGTGTTCAGTGTCCTGTTAATGGTTGAAGTAGACCCCAAATACACTTGTTAAATGTGTGCTTGTGTTGGTTCAGGGTGGTGGCTTGTGGAGAAGGAGGACAAGCGGATGGCCTGGTTCCCAGCCCCCTACCTGGAGAAGGTAGATGATGACGACGATGAAGAGGACATAGATGGGACTCCTGAAAGAGGTAGAGGCTTTTGCCATTTGCATACAGTTTTTAATCAACACCTCATTACCTTAGAGGCAGTAACGTCAGTCAAGGCATTATGACACTATGTATTAAAGATATTTTCTTTCACTCGCAGGAATGATGTACACTGCGGTTAAGGGCTACAATGCCACCAATGATGATGAGATAACCGTAGGTATGGGTGCAGTGGTGACAGTCCTGCAGAAGTCTGAGAACGGCTGGTGGCTCATCAGGTATTTAACACATTTGACTTGTGGCTGAACTCTTTAGCAAGCTCAAAATAAGCATATATAAGCATATAGATATTTATAGACTGCAGTGCTTCCTGTAAATAGGAGCCTGTATCTTGATCTAAAACAAAAAACTGTAATCCTGGAATAGCCTGGAAGCCTGCATCTTAAAATATTCTTGTCTGCATATTTTTCAACAGATACAATGACAAAGCAGGTTACATCCCCGCCATGTACCTGCAGCCCTACAGATACCCTCATATCCGCTTAGGGGCTGATCATCAAGCTCGTCGCGCCTCCTCCCCGCTCCAAGTCCCTTTCCTGAGCCTGGAGCAGCAGTCTCACCAGTTCAGCCGCTCACAGGGAAACCTGCTTCAACTTCCACCTGTCAGGTCTTCCTCAGCCCGCCCGCTCCAAGCAGACAGCAGGCAGAGATCACACTCTCTCACCGTCCAGTCTGAACAACCACTCGCTCAGCCCGCTGCAAGCACCATGGCTGCCACGGCCTCTGCTGCCACGACCTCTGCCGCCACAGTTCCCAACACACCCACAACTGGAACGCTTTCTCCTCCACCCACAATCATGGTGGAGATGGACGGAGATGAGGAACGTGGCATGAGCCTGACAGCGGACAGCGAGGGAAGCCTTTCGAGCGAAAGCGACTTCAGCTTCAGCGATGACCTCAGCTCCTCCTCGGCAAGCTCGACCTTCAACCTCAGCCACAGCGCCAATGACGAGCAGCTGCGTCTCAGCCGTACGCCTCCCCCAATGGCGAGCAACCGCCTGAACCCGACAAGCGGCCAAGAGGGGAAAATGATGCCCAGCGTCTCTGATCCCAACCTCTACAAGGGCCCGACAACACCTAAGGTGCCACCCAGACCAAGGGCCCAGGAGATCCTCACCAGGTGTACCACCGTCACCCGCAAGAACGCAGCCAGGGGCACCCTGTCACCCACACAAACTGAGATACTGAGTCGATGAAGCTTCTGTTGATCCCAGTTATAGCTGTTTTTATTATAAGGGGACCTCATCTGTTCTGTGGCCCAAACATGGAGTTCTGCTAATTACAGCTGCTTGTGAACTTTCTTTAATGAGTGATTAGAAAATGTGAGAGAGGGTTTTCAGAAATGTGTGTAAAGAGTTGGAATTAGTTAAGAATTAAGAGGCATTGCACCAGATGCATTGAGATGAGAGGGAAAACTTCAGCGCTATGAAGTTGTGCCAACACTTTATTTCCCCCAGTGAAGTTGTATTGATAGAAATGTGACTTGTCACACAGTCTCATTAATGATGTTTGCATAACCTTTGAAGAGACCACCAACAGTCAACTTGTTTGCAAAGCCAGGCAAATCAGTTTATATATACATATGTACATGTGGATGATTAATCAGGATACAGAAAACATTAATATACACCGCTTCACTATCTGTTTTAAATGATCATTTATTTTCCATAATGGAAACCTTGTGTTGTGCCTTATATGCATTTTGACTGTGCTGCGTGCACAGACAGAGATTGATTTCTTCTTGCGACTGCAGCACAGGTAAACATTTGTCTGAAATACCAGTGTGTGCAGACGGGTCGATTTCCTGCTACAGCGTGTTTACAGCCAACTCAACTTGAAGAATGGGGTATGTGTGTACTGTAAATAAACACTGAATATACACTCCAGAAAATAACCATGTAAATTCTGAGTGTATTAACATGTTACTGAAGAGCTTGGAACAAATAAAAGCATTTTTTGGGCAACTTACACAGTAACTCAATTGTTTTTGTTTGCTTAACATAGCTTAAATCAAAAGAGTAATGCAGTTTGGTATCAGTTATCCTGACTTTCAATCCCTAGTATGGGTCAGGCTTCAAAAACATCAATCCTATATATATATATCCCATAATGCAGCCAATAGCATCTTTTAGACATTTCTGTGTGTGAAATCCATGCCCACAGTTTGTAATGCAGGCTTTGTTATAAGTTCAAGTCTCAAGCTGAGGTAACCTCAATGACATTATCAGGGTTATTTTCTCCAGTCCCTGAGAGCCAAAGGACGTCATACAACTGTTTTCATAGGCTGAGCATATATAACTAAGTAAGATTGTGTCACATACTCAATAGCTCAATAACTCATAGCTCAAATTCAATGAGATCCCATTATCTAAACCCCCTTACTGTAATACACCAGTTTATGGAGGTAACTAATTATTTACATTAGAAATTAATCTGCAGATTAAAGCCTCAGTTAATTGATTAAATGTCTTTTGTCCAACCAGAAAGTCCAAAACCCCAAAATAGTCAAATATTGTAGGACGAAGAACAGCAGAAAACAATTAATTCATTATCAAAACAGTTAAATTAAAACCATAATCCAAACTCCTGCCAGTACTATCTGTATCTCAGTATGAGTAAGATCATGTGCTATAAAGTCTGTAATCAAGTCTCATCATTTTATGCCAACCATTTATTCCAAAATGATAATGGAATTTGTTTGATTGACTGACTGAAAATGAAACAAGAGTACGTGATGTGCCCATACCCAACTGTGCTATGCTCCAAACCTCAACACACCCCACAGGGATTTTCACCATGTTTCCATTAAGCAATTAAGTCTTAAGGCACTCATGTTAGCATGTGAATGACTGATGTGATACATGTTAAAAACTCCAATTATATAAACAATTTTCTGTTTTTTGTTTTATTAAAATACAACTCATTTTAAATCACAAAGAACACATTTTTATTTTATAAACATTTGTAGTCATGACAAAAAAAATAAAAATAATAATCCATGGTTATATAAGGAACCTCTTGTGAAGTTGTGGTTGAGCCGGTAGATCAGGACTATGCAACATTGCAGAACTAGACGATGCAATCTGTGTGTGTGTGTGGGGGGGGGGGATTAAGACTGGTTCAATGCCTGAATGTTAATGCAGCTTTATCTTCCTTCAATCTTTTCTCCCCTGCATTATTTCCTCCCTGACTGGAGGTTGCTTACATCTCCTCAAATTCAGAGACAGAAACTCTTTACGCCTGAGCTGCAGAGACAGGGAATGCGCAGAGAGGCCTATTATCTGTATTATCATCATTCCACACCTGTCTCTCTCCGTCTCTTCCTGCACTGCCACACATTCAGTGTGTCACTCCAGCTAATGGTCCGTGATATTTTTTTTTTCTCTCCAGGAGTGAGTCATCCGTTACGAGCTTGGAGATCCCTGTCAGCTGGCGAATGTCTGGCATTGTGGAGCGGAAGAGACTGGGAGACGTTTCAAAACTTTTACTGTCGTCTGATCCTTCTCGTCTTCTTCCAGGTCTTCCTCCTCCGAGCTCTCCTCATTTTCAGAGTGGTGGTTGCCGTTTGTTTTGGTGCTCTCTCCATTTTCTACTCGCCCGTTGGTGGCAGACGCTTTCTTGGTGACGCTGACCTCATCGTCCTCTTCTTCTTCTTCTTCAACTGGGCAATTTGGATCTTCCTCTTGCCCGCTATCGCTGTCGTCTCCATCTCGTTTCTCCTCGTCGCCGCTTCCCATTCCTTTCTCCTTGTCGATCATAAAGAACGGCTGTGCGAGAGGAGTGGTATCCATTTCTTCGTCTTGGCCCATGCTAGACAGGACATACCAACAGGGGTTAGATAACAGCATATATTCAATAATTAGATACATATATCAACTTTAAAATCTAGAAATGTGAAATAAAACTAATTTATATGCTATATATCCACATTTTCCATGTTTTGTATATTACGATTTTCGATCCTAACATGTATCATCCTCTTACATTTGGCATTTACAGTATCATAGCTTAACAGTCAACCATTCACGTTTTGTAGAGTCTACAGTCAAAAGATTCTTTCAGTAAAAGGAAAAATGTGGCCGCACGTGTGGTTTACTGCCAGGAATGCTGCTCGGTAGCAAACAACAACAGCTTTTCCTCTCATGGATTCCTGTGACACCGAAAACACAACCACAGTCTTTGTGTTGTGCAGATAACCTCAACTCAATCAACTGCATACCTCTATGTCACGTTTAATCCACATAAAGACGAGCAGGCTGCGAGACTATATCTAGGTACTGAGCAGAAGAAACAGAGCGGCATTGAACACAACACATAATGCACTTTTTGCTGCGGTCAGTGTTTTGGACTTTGGTGTGAGTAAGAGGAGGAAGTAACTGAGCTCTAGTCTGTGACCCGAGAGGTTAAATAAAGTTTGTCTAAGTTGCATGCGTGTTTGAGTCTAAAAGGGCCTGTGTGACCTGCGTTAAACAATAAAGCTGTCAGTGCAGCACGGACGCCAATGCATGGGGATCTGACAACAAAAATTCAGAAGGTGAACCAGGCTCAACTTTTGAAGTCACGCACACGCACATTCCTTGTAGATCACTATGTGGACTCTTTATCTCACAATGAAAGAAAAAAATAGTTGCAGCTGTAATAAATTTACAGAGTTGTAGACTTTACAGCAAAGTATTTCAGCATCTGATAAGCCTTTAAATGTATTAATCTGTTGCTCCAACTCAATTTCCTGGAGTGTTTAATATCTTACCGCTACCTCAAACACACCCCCACTGTGCTGTTTTCAGTCTGATTCCCTCACCTGGATGGTGCTCCAGCCACTCTCATCTTTTGCCACATGTAGTTCAAGAACATGGACGCCTGCAGCAGACGGCCAATCCTTTGCATGTGTCTCTCTGTGGGAGGGAGATAGAAGAGTAAAGAGTTAATCAGTGATGAGATGGGCTACTGTTGACACTTAAATGTCGTGATTCTCCAGTTTACAACATGCTACAGTCAAAAACCTTATGAGTCCTGACAAAAAACTAGAAACTTTGACCCTGAGTCCTCTTAACATTATCTCAAAATTAATTTTAAACTCATGGGGCTAAAAAAAAAAAGCTTCAGATACCAGGGATCAGGGATTTTCTCATTGTATTTATGGAGTAGTCTCTACAGTGACTGCAAAGTGACGTTTGTGCGTTGCAGTCAGTCAACATATCAGCTTTAGAATTACTTTATACTGCTTCCTTAGGAATTGTTCAAGTTATTGCCTTTGACAACTGATCTGATGTTGATGATCTCAGTAAGATGTGGGGAGACGCCTTGTTTTCATATGAAGTTCCATAATTTGTGTATTTTACAATAATCCGAGCATATAACCTTATATAGAATCTATATCAGGGGTCATCAACTACATTTGTCCAAGGGCCAGAATTTTTCTCTGCAGACACTGTGAGGGCCAGATGCTCGTAAAATAAAATAAAATTATTATTGTATCCTAAGTAATATGTTATTATTTGATATACTAATTTTCATTCCAATTTTCCAAAACACTGGCATGAGAAAGGCCTTCTGAATATGTTTCAAGCATGAAAAATGGCACTCTCGAAGAGCCTTAAGCGGAAAGTTGATGCAGAGAGCGTTAATTAAGAATGGACTGATAAGTGTGTATTCATAGTGCCACATTTTAGAAATGCTGTACCGGTGTGCCTCGTTTGCAACGAAACTGTCGCTAAAGAATATAATCTGAGCAAGGACAATTTTGACATTTGTGAAAAACGACTATAGATAAAATGAGCATGTGAAACAATAAAAGATGTTTAATGAGAGCAATCGAGTTTATCGCTCAGTCTGTTGAAGGCAGGCTATGGCACAAGCTACTTTTCAGAGGGCGTTTCTTTCATTTGATTTAAAAATAAATAAATATAGAAACATACTTTTTCCTCTTCACTAGGCTATTCCTGAATTCAGTAATATTCTGGGGGCCGGATGGAAATCTCTGCCGGGCCGCCAGTTGATGTTGATATAAATACACCTCATTGTCTTCTCCTCTGCGTCATGTTTCTCTCGCTTAGACGGATCAGCCATAACATTATGACCAAAGAACATTAGGACAAAATGTTCACCTGCTGCCTAATATATCCCACCCCACGCACAGCACACCCACAGACCACCACACACCACACCAGCACCGCCGACGCACGGCACCACACCACACAACCCACCACACACCCATCACACACACACACACACACACACAACTGACCTGTGTATGGGATGAGTCCCTCCAGGTGGGCTCGGGCACCCTGGTACTGCAGCAGCTCCTCGGGCGGCAGGTGTGTGAGCAGCACCTGCAGGACAGCCTGAGCATCCTGACAGTTTCTGGCATTGGTGTTCCACGCGACACAGTAGCGCAGGAGCGACTCTGAGTGGGGTTAACAGAGTTGAACGGGGGGAGGCAGCAGCCAGTGGTGAAGGAGGAGAGGGAAGAAATATAAGAAAGGAGACTTCATTACTTCACTCAACTGCGTCAGTGATCTTGGAGGCTCTTTAAGTTTAAATCACTTGTAAAACATTTTCTTCTTGTTGTTTCAGTGCCGCATCATTAGAAAGGTTTACAGACATGATTGAGCTGCTACCTTTCTGATCCAGTCGAAGTTTCAGCACCGTCTTCTCCAACAGCTCGCGGCAATCCTCCACCTGACGGATCGCTACAAGCAACACGAGAGAGAGAAAAAAAAACATTGGTTTGGGGACATTTGTTCACATTAACTTTGTAATAGCTACTGAGTTTATTGTCCCCACATGTAGATTAGCTATTACCCAAATAACAGAATTCACAAAAGCAGAATTTCTGAACGAGACAGAAGTATGTTTTTGTGTTTTGGTTTGTGATGTTGGAATGTTATTTCACAACAAAGGAAACATCTATGCCTTTGGGGCAGCAATGGCCGTCTCACCTGGTGCTACTAAATCATCTCGTTTACTCTTGAACCCAGTAACATTATTGCACTACTGCAGTAGAGAGCATGTAAGCATGACTACGACCGATACCACTCTGAATTATCACTACAAAACTAAGATTGCATCTGCCTTTTGTTTGACACATGTACTGAATGACACGCGTGCCGATTCCTTACACCGTACACCAGACAGATCATTTCCATTGTTACAACAGATTAACAGAGATTCAACCAAGAGATTCAAAAGTAGAAATAAGGTAATTATGTTGCAACATTAGTGAGAATTACAGTAACACGTTCTAAACATTGTGTGTCCCAATAACCTCTTTGTCTTCTTCCACCTGCAATTGTGTTCCCAAAGTACCGAGGGACGTGATAGATCAGTTGTTTTGAATTTGTTTTGTTTCCTCCTCTGTGTCAGGACAAAAGAGCATGACACTGTGAAATCCAGGCTTTTCGTTCTTACATTCAGACCCATCTTTTGAGAGATTGGTGACAGAGTGGTGTGTTGTGTATGCATCAACGCTTGGGTGACTCAACTCTTCCACAATGAGAAGTGACTGACTGACAAGACGACAACTTGTCAAGGCAACCACAGGTGGAAGGATGAAGGATTTTGTAGTTGTCATTTCCCATGTCTAGTGTCTATTGATCAGTATGCCCCCCCCCCCCCACCCCAAAAAAATGTAGCACAAAGTACCTTTGATCACAGTGAGCACAGTGTGAGGTTGGTCCAACGAGATTGCAAGACCCAGGGCCTTGAGATACTTCTTCTCATGGAGCAGGTTGGACAACTCCTGCTGCCTTCACACACAAGAAACACACAGACATGTTTATACAGGCACACATATGTTTATACAGACAGGCACACATGCACCTGTATGCATTTAAAAATGTGTAAAAGATCGTCAGTTTATTGCAAATTAGGTTAATAGAATATCAAAAACAAAGGGTTTCTCAAGGTGAGTTCAGCCTTGGTATACTAAGAAATTAGCATAAAACTCACAAAAGTACACAAACTTTTGTTTTCACAATATTCATGGGTCTTTTTGTGGTTACACAAAATACTTTGAGAGTCTGTATGGAAATAGTTTCTGTTCAGAATTTCAGTATTTTTTGATGCGATTATAAAAGAGACAATAACGAGATGACATAACTGACAAAAGACACTGTCATTGTAGGCATACAACACAATTATGTTTAGTAATTGGAATTGAGATTACCATAGCAACAGTAAAAGCTTAACCTAATTTCTTTCACTACATATCTGTCATTAGTATTTTCTCCCTGTGGTGCTCCCTGATAATAACAGATTTGTTACCCAGGCTGGCGTCAAAATGAACGCATGTGTCTGAGAGGATGTATGCACACATTAGTGAGCAAACATACATACGTTAAAGGCATATAATCAATCGTGTAAGGGCTGGTATCCCCTCGTTCTTATCAGACACACATACGACCCTGACTCAATGAAGTCAACCTCAGCCTAACACAGTCTCAGTGTTTATTTATCGGGCGCCGGACAAACAGACAGGATGGCGCAACAAGGGTGGACCAAAGTTAGGCCTGTGGCTGATTCCTCCAGGATCTTTGACCTCCAACACTTTGTTTGTCCATCGGACGGAGGATGGAGGTTTGCGGAGCAGAATGACATCAGCCTCCTTCTGTGGTAAATTTTTCAAATCTAAAAGATAATGTGTGGAACCTACTTGAGTATTTGATCCTCCTGCTTGGCCTGCTCCTCTGCCAGCTCCACTTCAGTCACATCCTAGCAGTGGACAAAAGACAACATCTCTTTGTGATTATGTGTTGAAAAAGAATATAAAGGAATTCCTCCCTATTCCCTCCAGGAGAAGAGAGTGGTCAGTCATAGTGAAAGGTTAGCTATAAATAACCAGCTAGATGAGGATTGAATATTTTGCTAAAGGGCACTCAAGCAGGTTAGATACCGACTAAACAAGCACTGAGTGCACTGTCAAGTGATTGTTGAGCATTGTTTTTGAAATAGACTCTGAGCTAATAAATAACAAATATTACACGTTCTTGTGTACAAACGCCCAATCTAGTTCTTTTCAATAGACGCAAAAAAAAAGAAGAGCTGGTTGGACAGAAAAAGGTGCAAAGGTATAAGTCACTTTTTTTTTCTAACAGAAAAATAATAAATTCCACTCTCTTACTTACTTACTCCAGTGTCACCGCACACTGTTTTAAAAATTGTGTTTACATCTGATACTTCCTTGGGGAACGTGATAACTAAATAAAAGTTAAGTAACCACAGCTGCTGACAAACTGTGGATTGATCGGTGGATTAACCTTACATTTTGGGTCAGGAATGTGTAGGTTTAGCTGGAAATGATGGTGCCTTCCCAGACACATGCTAACGGCGACCAGTACCGCCTTTATGAGAAGAATTTGCTTGCATAAAGCATGTTTTATAAAGATAGCGTGTGTGTGTGTGTGTGTGTGTGTCCGTCCAACCTTTTTCTAAAACAACACTAATGGCAATCAATACTTTTAGCTATGTAGAAGTTTGATTGGTAATCGATGAAACTTAATCCTCTTTGCACGCCCCCCTGTGCGACAGGTGACCATCAAATCACACTTACCACCCACACGGTGATGTTGGAGTCTGCCGAGCCGGTCACCATCTTGTCATCTTTGCGGCTGCTGTGGAGACCCCACACTTTGTCCTGGTGGGCGTCCAGCGTCTTCACACATTCATTGGTCTTTATGGTCCACAGCTTTACTAAACCATCAGAGCCACTGAGGACAGAGCACGGTTTGGGAGAGAGGACTTACATCGGTTAGATCACACATGGCTGACAAACAGAGAGACCACATCCATACTGCATACTAAGCATTTTTTTTCCTCACATAAAACGTGAAGTATTTTAAAACTCTTGCTTAAGTTTCTTCTATTGGGCATGAATAGGCCAGCAGAGCCTGCAGCTTTGTTTTTTGTTTCACTTTTTTCAATCTTATTAGCAAGCAAGCATAACAAATGGTGGTTAGGAGTCTGGGAAATGAATTGTGACAATCAGACACCTGAGATAAGATGATAAGCATGCATGAGGGATTTTACGCTCAGATTTCCTCATGCACAGCACAATGCGAGGCTGTTCTTTTTTTCTTCGTGGCGTTATCAAAATGAAACTGTTTATGCAACTGTATAAGTGTACTTTAAGTTTCATGTAAGCTTTGCATGAGAGGTAGGTGGGGTTACCTGGTGAGCAGCTGAGTTCCTCGGCTCACAAAGACAACCTTCAAAACGGACGCATCGTGACCCTCGAATGTCTTTAAAGATAAAAAGTAAAAAAATAAAAAAAAAACACAATTATGTAATTTATACTTTACAGCCACAAAATATATGAATTACAGTCAGCTACATACTAATTTAAAGCTTTAACAAACAACTCTGTTAAATTGACTAAATAGAGAACTAAATAGTAATCTCGAGGCCCACCTTGAGGCAGCTGAAGTCTTGCAGGCTCCACAGTTTTGTGGTGCCGTCTGCAGAGGTTGTGGCCAGCACCTGGTCCACGGGAGAGAAGCAGACGGCCCAGATGCCGCGACGGTGGCCCCGAAACACCCCCAGAAGGCTCACGTTCCCTTCCCCCGCCAGCGACCACAGCTTGGCCGTACGGTCCTGGGAGCCTGAAGCCAGCAGCTTGTCATTGGGCGACACCGCCACGCTGTTTACATCCTGGGGGGATGGCAAGGGAGGGATATAAGAAAATAAGCAATAGCTTTTAACACTGTTGACATTTTAGTACATGCAATTTGAAGGAGGAAATTGATTCAAAAAGAGGAGACGGTGCTGAGAAATGAGATGGAAAAAAAAGCCGGTTGGACAGAAAAAGGTGCCAAGGTATATGTTACTTTTTTCCAACAAATTATCTAAATTCCACTCTCTACACTTACTCCAGTGTCACTGCACACTGTTTTGAAGATTTCACATCGTGTTTACATCTGATACTTCCTTGGAAACATGATAACTAAAGAAAAGTTAAGTAACCAGGCGCTGCTGACAAACTGCTGATTGATCGGTGGATAACCCTTACATTTTGGGTCGGGAATGTGTAGGAGTAGCCGGAAATTATGGTGCCTTCCCAGCCACATTGCTGGGAAGGCCAATGGCGACCAGCACTGTTAGTGAGCAAATGGCTGGCAGGTTTTCTGCACTTCCTTCCTAAGAATTTGCCTGCATAAAGCCTGTTTTATAAAAATAGCCAAACACTCATCAATCACCTGTGTGTGTGTGTGTGTTGTCCGTCGTGTGTGTGGTGTGTGTGTGTGTGCGAGGGTGAGAGTCTCCTTATTAAAAATATATCTTTCTGGACAATGACTAATTGATTTGATCGTATCAAAACTATACTGCTTTTTTTTTTTTATTAATACATGTATGTAATCTCGGCGTTGTTTGATGATATAATATTATAATGTACTCTTTCATGCAACATTTCCCCTTAAACTCCTTCCAAGAAAGACTGCGTTTACATGCATTTAAGTTAAGTTTTAATTTATATGTGCGTAGAGATTTGTGCTTGTACCTTATCATGTGCCTTCTCTGTGGCGCGGGGGGTCAGCTGATGTATGTCCGCCCCTGTCATAGACAAGTCTGGTGGCAGATCCCACACCTTCACGGTGCAGTCCTGACTGCCAGACACTATGAACGATGCTTTCAACCTAGACACAAACACACAGCGTTATTTGTGTTGTCTGTGTTGGTGTACATGATAAGAAACACGTGTGTGACTGCAGGAATGTCAAGCGTTACCTGGAGCAGGTGATGGAGCCCACAGCATTAGTGTGGCTGGAGCCCTGTGCCACACAGTGCACCTGACCACTGTCACTGTCCATCTGCCACACACGCACTGACCTGTCCTAAAGACACAACATACAAATGTTATTGTTGGCCACAATGTGGTTAAGTAGTGGCTTTATTTATAAAATAGCATGCATGTGCCAAATGCCTAAACAAAGATCATCATTGTCTGCTCAGTTTCTACTCTATGTCTGCAGCGTCCACACCTTCGCACAGCTTGCAAAGAGAAATCCCTTCTTGAACACGTCCAATGAGAGGACAGTATCTGTGGAGGATAAAATGGTAAAAAATAGGAGTGAGTGTCAGAGTAGATAAACATCTGTCCAACCTGCTCGGCAGGTCGCTTTCAATGACACAAAGCCAAGATTAAATCCTGATTGTGTAACTCTAGTGACAGGTTTTAATTTCACCAATCCTGCCATTGTTTATAGAACCTGTCTTTTTCCGTATGACATATGTAATTGGAATCATGTAATCATTTCTATTTTTACATTATTCTTTTTTTTAAATGTTCATTTTGTTTAATTCATTATTTAAAATAATAATAATAATAATAAATTATATATTATAAATAATAATGGTATTCTTATATATATTTGATAATTTAAAAAACTAATTTAAAAGACTGAGTGACAGCATATCCTTCGTTCATTATTATTAATGTGGTAATATATCCATAACTGTAGTAAGATTTTAATTTACAGTCTCCAAGGATTCTACATCATGGAAAACCATCTGTAGCATCTAGAAACAGTAAATGTTACAAAAACAGACTGGAAATGCCTCTTTATCCCACATTATTACAGTATCTGACAGATAAAAAGTGTAATGCTTAGCTGATATATAATTGAATCAAATTAGACTTTACATTTACACTTTTCTTTACCGTGTTTTGCTGTTTACCTCTGTAGGGCAACACACACTCACTGTAGTACTGTGGAAACTTTCTGCCCTCTGGTGAACGAATACAAATACTGCGATGCATTGCACATGTTCGTATAAACACACAGGCACACGCTGCCCTCTGCTGGTGACTGACCTGTGTGTCCGGAGAGGATCTGGCAGCTGTTGGTGAGGAGCTCAAACACCTTCAGCTGGCAGCTGTTGGTGGCCACCACGATGTGGCTGTCATCTTTGCCCAGAAACTTCACGTCCAGCACCTCGTCATTATAACCCACAAACTGTGAGAGGGTGGACAGAGAGAGTGCTCATTAATGAAAACAGACCTGGACGTATGAGGTCTCTAGTTTGATGTGACACAATTTGCTGTTATAATATCACTCAATTTAGCTGAGCCTGTAAGTCAGTAGTAAACATGCAAAAAATAATTTTACCTTTCTCTTCACTTGAGCCATAAAAAAACAGACTAAAGTTCATCCTACATTTCTAGGCAGCTAATTAACCCATACCAGTTAAGACAAAGATAGATCTATTTTGTTAGTAAAAAAAAATGTATTAAACAAAGATATGTAAAGCCAATCATTTATTTTGACTTAAAATGTAATCTAGCATCAATATACATATACATATACATATTCAGAAATGATACTAGCAGATGTTTGAGTCAGTACTGTATCCTCAGTACACACCTGCTGCTGCGTGGTGAGACCCGGCAGCTGGTACAGCAGTATGTTGTGTTCTGCTGTGACTGCAGCCAGTCTGGAGGAGGAGGGCAGGTGAAGAAGGTACGTTAGACTGCGGGGGTCGTCGTCCTTCTCTTCCTCCTCCTCCTCCTCTTCAGACACAGCGGTCTGGGTGTAGACACAACGCCCCGTGCTGGCCTCCCACACTCTCAATATGCCTACAAGCGAGGAAGGGAGGAGGAGGTGAGTTACAGAAAACACAGAAATACAGATTACTTGTTCACGACAATTCAACAGTCAAACCTTTGCTGCCAGCTGTGATGAAATGCACGTCCTTGCTCTTGACTCCGATCTGAGAGAGGTCCTCGTTCTCTGGCAGAAGCACAACACCCTCCACAGCCTGGAGACAAAGACCACACACAGAAATCAAGCTGCAGTATTTTTCCCATGGTATTCAAATAAGGCATTTGCATCTATTTGCAAATCAATAAATATCCACCAGTTTACAGATCACAGTTCTCACAGTCTTACCTCATAGACCGCTACAGTTCTCTTGGCTTTCCGACTCTTCAGGTCCCACACTGTGCAGATCTTATCTCTGCCAGAGCTACAAATAAAAATCAGCACAAAATCACACACAGCTTTAGAAACATTAGAAACCCCACAAAATGATGAAAGATAACTGGCTTCAAGTGGCTGAGTGTACAGTACCTAACCATGGTGTCACCATCAGGGCTGAAGCTGAGGGAGGTGACAGCGCTGTAATGGCTCTGCAGCACACACACGCACTGACTGGAGCTCAGGTCCCACAGCCGAATTCCACAGTCCAGAGAGGAGGAGAAGAGCTGCAGTCTGCTGATGTCTGGGTGGAACTGGACCAGGCTGCAAAGATACACAAAGGACATTTAGACCTAAAAGTGAGATACTGGACACACTAATCTTGTCTTTTTGGCGCAGTTTATGAACGCAGAAAAAACTTCGGTCTATGAAAATTATTCATACATCTCTAGTTCATAGATATCTGAACTTACTGTACAACTCCAGATGACCCTTTCAGGTTGTGGGTGCAGTACTGCTTGACCACATCCCAAAGCTTTATAGTGCCATCACAGCCACCTGCAGGACAACAAGAAGACAAACTCTGTAAACTCTACGATGTCTATGAAGCAAAGATCAGGCAGAAACATGGGACACAAAAGACACAATTACAGCTGTAATTACTGACCTGTGGCCAGGAGGGTAGAGGTGGAGTCAAAGGTCATACTGGCTACGGGAACAGTGTGAATGGCCCTCCAGGAGCGAGTACACTGAGCTTGCCTCCAGTCCCATTGCTTCAGCAGCAGAGCTCTACTAGCTGTTACCAACAACTGTGGTGGGACACAAAGCAGACACACACACACACACTAAATACTCGTCTACAGACCGATATAATGAAATCACACAAGTTAGACTGAATTAATGAGTAATTGAGGTGTTTGCTTTACCTCATCATCGCAGCTGAGAGCAAAAGATGTGATGTCCTCTTGATCATCCTGAAATAATGGACAGACAAGACAGAAAGAATCTCATGATAATGAAAAGGACAAAATGCCCCCTGAAGGCACTTAGTTTAGTTTGGATTACTTGAAGCCTTTTTTCATTGTGGTGCTTGATGAAAAATGCAGGAGTGACAAGGCAACTTCATATGTAGGGCTGCAAATAATCATTTCATTATCTTTATATGATTTAGTTTTTACTTACTGGTCAATTGTTCAGCCTATAAAATGTCACAAATGGAAAACGCCCAACACAAGAAGCCTGGGTGGGAATCTTTAATTAGCTTTTTTTTGTCTAATTAACAATCCAAAATATCAAGATATTCTATTTAAAGTGATGAAAAGCAGGAAAACCGTACATTTGAGGAGCTGGTACCAGAAAATGTTAGACATGTTTGGTTCATAAAATCACTTAAATGATTTATCCAAAGTGTTGGATCAAATCTTGCTGGGTATACTTTTTCTTTTGGCAACACAGAAAATAAAGGAACAAGAACTCATAGGCATCAGTTTCCCCCGACCCAACGATAGTGGTCTTTGAGATTAGGGGCTCTGTTGTTGAAAACATGATAGTTGTTAATCTGGACTCACATGCTCGACACTGTGGATGATCTTCCCCGTGCTGATCTCCAAAACATTGACACGAGATCCACAGGTGCAAAAGATGTACTTTTCATCCTTGCTGATCTGAATAAAACAAAGAGAGAGATGTTAAAGGGGCAGTCATATGATTTTACATGTCACAATCAGCTTTCTGGTCTCGGTTGGTGCTGCTGAGCCTTCTCAGAAGGTCTGTAAAGGGTCCCACACTAACGTCTAAAGTTTAAGGACATTTTGATCACTCTGCATTGCTTTTAACCATTCTTGTTTTAATCTGTCACTTGACAACCCTCCACCTTTATGGCAGCGCAACATTAAATCACCACCTTACGACTGTGTCAGCCTGGTAACACAGGTAATGTACACTGACTTCACCAACACACACACACACAACACAACACACACACACACACACACTTCTGAGACACAACACACACACACACACACTTCTGAGACACACACACACACACAGCACAAAACAGCTTCTGACACCTGAGACAGACACAGCACACACACACTTCTGACACTGAGACAGACAGCACACACACACACACTTCTGACACTGAGACAGACAGACACACACACACACTTCTGACACTGAGACAGACAGACACGACAGCCCAGCACACCACACACAGCACAGGCACAGCACACACACACACACAGAGAAGGAAACTCACCTGCACTTTTCCTCCTTTGTAAAACGGTTCGATCTTGCTGGAAACAACATAACTGTAAAGGCAGAAACAGAAACACGACTGTGAGTTGAAGTGACACTTTAGCCTAGCTTGTGTTAGCCAGCTAGCAATGTTTGCAGTCTGCACGTGCCCAGCGCCAAAAACACTTACTTTGTTTTGAACTGGAGATTTGTATTTGCCATTTTGCTCACGAGAAATGCAAAAAAAACCTAAATATTCCGACAGCTATGACGGTGTAAAGGACTTATTACTCAGTTCCCACGTTGGCTACAGTCAACACATCCATCCCGCATGTTGCTAACCGAGTCGCACGAATTGTACGTCATCTGAGCGCACTGAGCTGTGATTGGCCGGACGGTCACAGTGAAATCCCCTCTTGTCAACACATGGACAGCCTTCATTAAACAATAGCATTTAAAAAAGCATGTAAAGTGGCAGGTTTTTAGGGAAATGTAGGTTTATAGGTGAAATGTGTGAATGCCATGTGATCTCAAAAGTCTCACAATGAACTTTGACCTTTACATTTCCCACAACAATAGCCTCAGCTGGAGCTATTCATGTTTAAAAGTTCCTGTTTTGACGCGTGGAGGCTGAGCCTTGGTGCTAGAACAGCAGGGAAGGGACGCCATTCTCTCCTTTCGTTTTTAAAATGTACCGTGTTCATTGACAGCACAAGCACACACTCGGTCCCTCCTTCGTGCTTTGTCAGGAATGTTCATGTGTGTGTTTGTATTGATAACGCGGGTGTGTGTTCCGTGTGTGACATGTGAGAGGACCGATATGGAGTAAACCAGCGCCGGACCGGGAATGGAAACACGGTGAGGAACAGGAGATTATCATGGTGAGTAGACAAACAGCTTCTGTTTGTTTGTTTGTTTATTTGTTTGTTTATTTATTTTTATCTATTGTTTTTCTCAGGTTTATTAACAGATACACGCGGTTAATTTTGACACTATCCTTAATGTGTGAACAGCTGCTTTCCAGTTATATCTGGTGACATTTGCTTTCACTTGGAAGTATATAGTCTTGTATGAGTATTATGACATTAATGCTTAATTTAATTGGCTATTTGAATGAACTAAAATTCTGGAATTACGGAAATATCGCCATGTGTTTATAAACATTTTGTAATTATCTAATGTTTTGTGTTGAAAAAAGAAGAATACCTGCTTTCTGCTATCATGTAATCAGTCATATGACTTTCCAGAACAATTCTGTTTTGTCATCTCTTGCCTTTATGTTGAAAACACTGTGGGTGGGTTGTAGGCAGCTGTAGAGCCATGTTTTACAGCTGTATAGGTATAATACTCACCTGTTGGTACATTTGAGGTCACAGTTTGTACATTTCCTCAGCTGACACAACTTTCCCTGAAATAATAGTGATAATAGACAGTGATAACCCATAATAATGTATATTACATTGGGCACATCCAGGCAGACCCAGAGGTGTCAACACAAAGTGGGGGCTATGATGTGGAGCTGTTTGTGGACACCCCAGACTACGATCTGATCTGCACCATATGCCAGGGGGTCCTCAGGTGTCCAGTCAGGGCAGCATGTCACCACATCTTCTGCAAGAAATGCATCTTACAGTGGCTGAAGAGGTACTGAACGTAATCAACACCACTGAACAAGGACATTATAAAACTGTATTGGATTGTTATTCATGTCTGGTATATAAAAATAAACAGGACTAAATGTTATTTATTCTCCACAGGCAGGAGACCTGCCCCTGCTGCAGGAAGCCTGTTAACCCGAGCTTGATTTTTGTCATGTTTAAGCTGAGCAAATCTATTGGACGCATGAAGATCAAGGTAGGAAATTGAAAAAGAGGAGTTACACATTTGCACATTGGTAATAGTTCAGGGATGAAAGTTATGTAATGTGATTATGACAACTCTTATTTATTAGTATTTAGGGAGAAAAGGGGGGACGAAACAAAGTAATAACATGGCCAAAAGTGGCTCTGCACTATTTAGTCTTGAGGCTCTGGGGAGGGGGCTGGTAAAGGGGGCCACTGTAGATTTTTGCCCCGGGTGTTTATCTGGCCTTGTGAGTTGGTTCATGGGGCACATTCACGTGGTCATGTCACTATGGTCATTATAATTTAATAAATCCATTATTTTTCAATTAAATGATTAATCAATTGTCTGTAAAATGTCAGAACATAGTGAAAAAATGCCACAGAGCCCAAAGTGACATGTAAAATAGTCTTATTTTGTCCCAATAATTGACCAAAACTCAAAGATTTCTCAATTTACAGCTTAAGAAATATGATGCACAATTTTATTTTGCTTCTTATTTAGTACTTTTTACTTGCAATTGAGTATTTTTATGCTGCAGTGTTGCTACTTTTACCTCTACTTGAAAAATAAAAAGTCACCTCTAGTTAAGAAGGATTTCCCCTCCATGCTGCAGTCACACAGTATGTGATCCATGTCTTTTATAGCTATTGATTTCTTTATATTTCTCTATATCTGGCCTCCTACAGTGTAAAAATGAGATCCGTGGTTGTGCAGAGACCTTCCCCCTCTCGGAGCAGTTCTGCCACAGCATGAGCTGTCTATACGAGCTCATCCCATGCCCGTACCAGGGTTGCCGGGCGCAGCTCCTCCGCAGGGACCTGGACACCCACGCACGCCACTGTGAACACTGGCGCCAGCCCTGCCACATGGGCTGTGGGACGATACTCTCCCACCGTACACAGGCTCAACACAACTGCTACAAGCAGCTGAGGCAGGAGTATGAAGCCAGACAGAGGAACCACAGGGCCATCGCCACGGCCCTGCAGAGGAAGATGAGGAGGATGCAGAGCACCATGGCCCACATGAAGAGGCAGATAGGGCTGATCTGCGAGAGCCTGGAGGTGATGGATGACCTGCACGAGGTAGAAGAGGAGGACCTGGGAGAGAGCAGCGCCAGCTCCAGTGGGACACCGAGTAGCAACAACAGCAACTGCTGAGAGACGAGGCAGTTACTGCTCCTGCTGTGTATAATTTCTGCATGTGTTAATTTCTTTGAAGGTGTGTGTTTTTGAATATGTAGGCAGTGATTAAAATGGGTGCATTTGTAACAGTTTTGTGCTGTAGTTTCACCACTTTTGTAAATAAAAGTATTTAACATTACACTGGCATCCTCATGTTGATTCACAAGAAGAGTGGAAAGCTGAATATTTTCTATTATTGATTGATTGTATTAACTGATGAATGAGGATGAACACATTGATGCAAAAAAAAAGAAAAGAAATGATGAGGTTATAGGTCAGGTTTTATTTTTCAGAACCTTTACTGAAAAATGCATTCATGGCATTATCAGTGAGCATAATGTAGAACATACAGAACAAATACACAAAAGCAATACAATTCTAAAATGTATAGTGACAAAGTAAAATCAGAATGGCTGTTTTCCTGTTTCAGTGTGTTTTACTGTAAGAAAGCTTCTATTATAATCACTTTTGTTTTTTTAAATACTAAAATATAACCATGTTCATCAAGAATATGTAAAATAAAATCAATAACATCTTACTGCAGTCATTCAAAAACATGGTGAGGTCCCTAAAAGCTGCCGGTAGGGGCAGCAGTCACCTTCACTCGGAGGAAATATCGCGATAACGCCTCTAAATAAAACCCGGCGAGACTTCTCCCCGGTCTTCTTCCTGTTATACAGATCACGTAAGTGGAATGGCACCAAGCTCATCTCGATCAAAATCCTTCTTTATCTCACACATCTGTCCACCAAACGCATTGATTATAGCTACAGAAGTATATCTGAATATGTTTATTAGATACTCTACTCGTATTGACGAGCTTACTGAGTCAGAGTTGGAGATATTTGTAAATATTGACGGATAGCTTCGTTAAACATGGCGGCAGGTGCTCGTTTGCTGTGAGATAAATGGATAGACTCGTTCTGGATGTGAGAGCTCTCTTGCTGTAGAGGTTAAAGTTGAATACTAATTATGAGTTTTGTTTTGTCCTTCAGCAAATGGCGGACGACGCCGGTGGTAGAGGAGGTTTCCGTGGAGGTTTTGGCGATCGTGGCCGTGGACGCGGCAGGGGCCGTGGTCGAGGCCGCGGTCGGGGCCGTGGAGCCCGGGGCGGCAAGTCCGAGGACAAGGAGGTAAGTTTAAGACTCTAGAGCGCTTCAAGGATTATTTGGTTCAATGTAATATTTCTTAAACCCAAAAGGAGTTTCTTACGATGCTCTGTCTTCTTTTAGTGGGTTCCTGTCACCAAGCTGGGCCGCCTGGTTAAAGACATGAAGATCAAGTCCCTGGAGGAGATCTACCTGTACTCTCTGCCCATCAAAGTAAGCACGATGTGAGGAAGATCATAGCGGGAGACTGCCAGCTGTTACAGAGGATCTCTAGGAGGTCTATTGCATGTGAAGGAGTGCATGCTGTCTCTCCAGAAGCTCAATACAAGTCTGTGTGTGTGTGTTTATATTGTTAGTTTGTTGCTTTGATATCATCACGTTCAAGTCTGAGAGCTCAGCATCACTTTCTCTTGAATATTCATCTGGACCGTTTTTTAAAAACCAGGTCCTTTTCACACCTAAAAACAACAAC